ATATTTTACTCTCAAAAAATGGGTTAAAGAATCAGAATTTTGAGTGATTAAAAACTGCACAAAGTTTTAAACATTGTCTACAATCTTTAGACCTGACAAGTGCTGAGAAAATTCTGACTTTTTAGAATAAATCTTACTGTCTAAATTATGAAGCAAGAGTTTGAATTTTGTCTAGAATTTTAAGGCCACAAAAAATGAATCAAAAATGAAATATGTGTTTTTTATACACTTTTGTAAATTACAAAATGGGATTCTAATTCAGGTTATGATGTTGGGAAAGAAACATAAATGATGTTTGAGTTTTTCAACAGTCTTGGTGCTCAGAAGATTGAGTACAATTTTTGAATCTTATTTCATTTTTTAATTACATAAAGCGTGTGACAGTTTAAACATCTTTACATAAATTTACCCACATTTTTTTCTAAGTAAAAGTACTGGGTTATACCCAGTGCGAAGGGCTATGAAAAGGTCTTTGCAATGTAATTTTAAAGTCCGACTGGTCACTTTCTATATTCTTACGTCTGGTTTACGAGACTGATGGTGAGTCGTGGTCAAAGGCGTGGGACCTGCTTATCATCTTACCTTCATCTTATTTGTAGCTTGGACTTGAACTTTGATATCATGAGGTACGTATATTCACCGTTGTGTTAGATGAACTATATAGATTGGTTACTGATCCGACCTAGCGAAACCTGCGACGAACCATCTACCTCTGAGCCCGCCCCCCAACTTGCAATTCAGAGAACACCGCTGCCAGTAATAAGGCCAGGCCTCGACAGCGTGAAAGTATATCAACATGGAGGCCTCCGAAAATACGGCTTTGGATATGCGGTCTCTATAGTATGGCTAGAAGAGTTCGTTGTCAGGAAGGGGAAAGCCCACCCCGACGACGACCACAAATTGTGGCCCGCAGTAGCTTACATCCGTCAATGCACTGGGGTCCGTCATTTCAGCGATATCAACCTCAGGGAGGCTGATCCGGAGGGTCATATGATCGGATGCTTATTTTGGTTTACGCACAACTTGGCACAGTGGGCGATAGATGCGGCTCAGGACGAGGCGATGATCCAGAAGTTCAAGGATACTTTCGAGACGGATACTGAGCCAAAGTGGTATCCTAGCGATCTTAGTGGGGCCCAGCTGGTATGTCTTTCAATTTTTCTTTCTCCGAGTCGTGCTTGCTGACGCATTCCTGCACAGCCGCCTCCAAGGAGGAGACGATAGATACGATAGCCGAGCTTTCCTACCCAATAATTCCTTTCAAACGTACCAGAGGCTGAAAGCGAGCCTTACCCAACGAGCTTTATACCTTCACATCCTCTCATGATCCCCCTTTTGTAATATAGTATCCTTTTAAAACGTCATCCTATTCCTACTTCTATCTGCGACTATTTGATCATGGCTGGTTGTGAAAGCACATGAGAATGCCAAACCATAGCCGCAGAATATCATTTTCTAAAACTTTTGTGGCTAGTACCTTTTCGCTATACAGATACAACTTGGACCTCGACTCCGGGGAATGGTCTACCGTGGCCTTAATCCCACCCTGCAGAATTCTGGATTCTTGCGAGCTATCTCTCTCGCTGTACTAATTACAATGTTGGTCGTCCTTTCGTCTGTCATATCCAACTTTTGACTGTCAAATATCTTAGAACACCTTAACCAGCCGTGGAGCCTACAAAGCAAGGGATAAATATGTAATCAGTATCTCCTTTTACCCTCATGATGGTAGGGTATCCATAAAATGCCAAAATCAGGAATCAAATGATCATACGGACTGCCAGCCAACGTTGAACCCTGGGATATTACGGAGGAGGTGAGATCAGATCTCTTGAACTTCTCTTCGCGAAGAATGCCAGTTGCGTTATATTCGTCATCGTCCATAATAAGCTTGTATTGTGGGTGGAAGAAGGTGAAGAAGTGTTTGTAATCGATTCTCATCGAGACAGATCATGATTAGCGGACAATGGATGCAGTTTTATTGAACTATTACCAACCTGAGAACAATGGAGGTTAGATTCTAGCCCACCTAAACATCTGTGTATGATCGTCGGTAGTCAACGGTCAACATGTATAGAGTACTTATTTTGATGGTGTAGTAGTGTGCTTAAGCGTATGGTATCATATTCCAGACACACCATATCACAAACTGATAGCTGGTCGGATTTGTATGTAGCCACACCGTTGTTTATCTCACATCGAGTCAGCACACAGTGACTCGGACTGGAGTATTGGTAAGGTCTGCAGTGATCTTGCCCATGATTCTCTGGATCATATGGCTGAGATCATATATAAACGTCATCACGGAGACATTATTACCATATTTGGGATGGAGGCGCTGTGACCCACTGGCAGGCTACTTAAAGTCTACGCGTTCGGGTTGAACCCATTCGAAATAATAATGAGGTACGTCTACTCGCATCGGGCTCAGAGACACCACATAAACTGATTGCTTATTCGACTTAGCCAAACCTTGCCCGAAACCTCTACCTCCCCCCCTGAGAGAATACCGCTGCCAGTCATAAGGCCAGGCCTTGACAGCGTGAAAGTATACCAACATGGAGGCCTCCGCAAATACGGCTTTGGATATGCGGTCTCTATACCATGGCTAGAGGATTTAGCTGTCAGGAAGGGGAAAGCCAAACCCGAGGACGGCCACGGGAGACTGTGGCTCGCAGCAGCTTACATTCGTCAAAGCACTGGGGTCCGTAATTTCAGCGAAGTCAAACTCATCGAGAAAGATTCAGCGGGCTTCAAGGTCGGATGCTTGTTTTGGTTTACGCATAACCTGGCACAGTGGGGGATAGATGCGGCTCAGGACGAGGCGATGATCCAGAAGTTCAAGGATGCTTTCGACACGGACACTGAGCCCAAGTGGTATCCTAGTGATCTTAGTGGGACCCGGCTGGTATGTCTTTTAATTGTTTCCTCTCTTTCGAGTTTTACTTGCACAAATGTTGACGTATCTCTGAACAGCGGAGAGGACGATAGATACGATGGCAGAGTTTTCCAACACAATTGTTACGTTCAACTTTCAAACGCACTAGAGGCGGAAGCGAGCCTTATATGCTTTATTCCTCTACGTCCTCTCATGATCTTTTTTTGTAACATAGTATCCTTTTCAATCGTCGTACTTCTATTACTACTTCTACCTGTGATTGTTTGATCGTAACTGATTACGAAGTTGTACTAACCGTAGCCGCAAGATATCATTTACCAGAACCTTTGTGGCTAGATGAAGTATACATATGCCTTATTGAATCCTACACTACAGAGTATTGGAATTTCGTGGGTTATCTCCCTCGTTGTACTTGTTGGCAGAATGTTGGTTGTCCTTTCATCTGGCATTGACTGTCAAACATTTTGAAGCGCCCGAACGGAGGTCACGAATCAAGGGAGAGGTTCGTCCTCAGTATCTCCTTGAGAGACCTCCTACATATGTCCACCGTTGTAATCGTACGATGCTCGAATGTACCCTATGGTCCATAGCCGCAGTAGTTGTTGGCATCAGCACTCTTTGACTCAAGCAAGGGAGACTCGGAGATGTTACAAAATCGATACTCATATAATGGACTTCGATACGGTCAGTCGGTCACTATACCTCAGTCTATACCTGCACTCGGTGAAGTTGGAGAACGATGTATGACACCGCCAAGGATGCGCGCCAGATTTCAAGGAGTTATTCCACATGCCCGAGGACCTTCAGTGGTCGCAATGTTTTAGCCTTGAAGCTCAGATACGACTAGCTTGAGAATCGAAAACACGGAGTCATGAATAATATATTCAGCCAGCCACAATACATTTTGTGCAAACAAGGTGTGTGAGCAAAGCCTCGACCTTCACTTTCTCGCTGTACGCAAATCGCTCTTGGTAGCAAGAGCCTGTCTCCCAGCGAGCGCGGTAACAAGACCGAGAATACCACCATAAAGTAGAACTTGTCCCAGTTTGAGGTCGATCCAGTACCACACGAGGAGACCTTCGAATGCTCCGAGGGTAGTGATGAATGGAAGGACGTTGGGCGAGAGGAGGTAAGGGACGCTAGGGCTGATGTAACCCCACTATAAAACACAACACCAATTAGTATCCAACGGGAAGGTATGAGTATGCTAGGATGAGGACGTACGAGACCGAGAAGAACAACCCATGGTGAAAGAACGAGTAGAGCTGAGACAGCAGAGATGATACGTGGGGGTAGCTTCTGCTCCGGTTGGAATGTGTGGTGGATGGGAGGCAACGGGTGGAACGATGCTTCGTCAGGGTGTTGTGGTGCTGGTTGGGATTCGGGCAATAAGAGGTCAAATAAGTCAACTTTGAGAGGAGAGTGCACGAAGGAGCCAATGATGAGCTCGACCTTGAGAGGCGTGGTAGCTGTGGTGGGTGGGATGGATGCTGGCGGGCGAGCCATATTCTAGGTAACAAGAAATAAGCACGTCAGAACCTTCAGACAACTGAGTAGGTTTATGGACATACCAATTCGAATTTAGCCTTTCCACCACTAGTCACTCGGACAGGCTGAATACCCTCCTCTCCCGTGACTTCGTCATAGAACCTCAAGAAGGTTTGGTGGGGCTGCACACCCTTGCTCTCCTCCTTGTCGACAACCTGGAATGTCAATTTGAGCACATCGCTGGCTCCGAGTGTCAGAGGCTTGGGCTTTTTCGTTAATGACAATCTAAGTCAAGCAACTACGTGTAAGCGCGAATGTCATCATCACACTGAAGTATACATACGGCTCAGAACGCAATTGCTCAGCATTGGACGACGAGATGGTAAAACGAGGGGACTGTAGGGTCAAGACTGAGGCTTGTACCCCAGCAATGGAGAGCAAAAGCCAGAGAGGAAAGGAGAGTAAGTGCATTGGTCCTACTCAAGATGCGTTTGGGTGTCCGAGACGTTGCACGCGCTCCTTTCGATCGCGGTAGCCACGACTGCGTATTGCTAAAATTAGAAATTCGGTTATTCTTAGAAATTTAGCAAAATCACGAGCTGCCACAATATAGAGACCTTGCCGTGGTTTGAACACGGGACCCCACGATAACAGAACAATGTTGCAATCGTGTGCTCTAAACCACTGAGCTACAAAGTCAACAGGTTTAAGCCGCCTACAGGATTATGAGAGTAGCATAGTCAGCCGCGACCAAGACGGGCGATATCTCAAGTCTCAAGACTCAAGTTTCGCAGTATGTATACTTTCTCGAAAAACCTAAACCTGGAACACAGTTATCACCCTAGAAGAGCAAGGAGGCAAGAATGATAAGTTTGTAATTTGATTATCATGATGAATCCCGCGCTCGCTGTTCCGAAATCTCCAAATTTCACACTATCTTCTCTCCTTCGCTCCGTACCGTCAAAGAACTCTTGTCATCATGATACAGACCATACATTCTATCATCCGAATCGTTATTGATCTTTTCTACTGAATCTATAGGCTCATCTGTCCCCTGCAATGTTGTATCTCGGCTTTACTGAGCATCACTAGTAGACTCTCATCTCCGACTTCAATGTCAGGTTTCACCGGATGTCTTTCGAAGGAGTTCCTGCTCAGGTGAGTTGAGGTGCAAATCTCGACGGTGGGCTCCTTTCTTATGTATAGAAATATAGGTATCGTCTACCCACGAGCTGCAACGACCGATTACTAGTAGGTTTGGGCTTTGACAGATCGAATCCTACTTCAAGAATGCAGCACTAAAGGGAAGTCGCGACCAGGGTTTCTTCCAAACATGGTTGGACTGATAGGGAACGTTCTTCCCAAACCAGACAAGGGACGCGTCGAGATTCTCTCCGTTTGTGCCGTGTCGTGCATGGGTGGTATATACCACTGCTGGACTTTCCTTTCTCGTAACGTATTTGGTTTTACTCATGGTAGTGAACCAACATTTGCGTTGAAAACCTCTGGTCTACACATAGTGAACTCCCTAAATGAGTCGCTACCAGGGGAGTTCAGAATTGGTGAACACAACGCTGAACACGCCTGAACACAGTTTTTGAACATGCTCATGTAACATCCTATAGCGGTGTTCAGAAACCACGTCCAGCGCCATGTCTGTCCCCCATATCTGAACTCCCCTATTTGCTCGACGTTGGTCGCAAGTGTCATCACTGCGGTATTGGTCATTGCTTTTTGCCTACGATGTTTGACGCCATTACTCGATGTTTCACCTGACTTTCTGGCTTACCGCTAGGAAGACTCGGGGCGAGTGCTATGGGTAGTAGCGAATGCATATGGATCTTACACCTTCAAGTTGTATCATCACTTTGTTAGTTTTTTCCAGTTGCATAGGGCATGTTGCTGCATAAGATAATGACAACAATAACAGGACTTTTTCTCTGTGTACTCATGTCGGCATCAATGATGAACATAGATCTTGGATCAACAGGCAACAGTAGCTGAGGACTACTGAGTAACATGACTGAGTATTAATTATGCAACACTACATCTTCCTCCTTGCTCTTATCATTCTCATTCTCATTCTTATTCTCATTCTCGCTCCCAATTTCATCCTCACTTTCATCCCAGCTCTCATAATCGTTTTCCTTTGATGTGATGCGGGACTTTGGCTGGAAAAGTTCCAAATCCCAATTGCCTATTCCTCCCGCTGTCATGCATCTGTGAAAGTACGCCAGCCATTCATCGTACTCGTCAGCATAACCCTACAGCATACAACTCTAGCGTGAGCATATACACTTGATGGGGACATAAGAAGCTACTCGACCTTTGGCGTTTTAAATACCTTGGGTCTGAACCCATCGCGTCGTCTGCTAGCAGTGCGTCGCACATACCTCACGATCTTGCCACAATCCGGCGTCCATGGCTGGGGCAAAAGGAAATCTTCATCAACTGACTGCCAGTACCAGTGCGGCTCTGTCCCCATATCCATGAACAAGATCTTTTTCAATTTGTTCACGTATTCGTGGTTAGGATCGAAGACTGCATCCACCATCGTCTCAGGACACTCACTGTACGACGAGCCTATGACTTCAGCGTAACCATAGAGATTGTCTCGAGCGTTTGGGTCCATGCAAGATCGCCATCCTCCGTCCTCTGTCTTCACGAGATGTGTATAGATCTGTGTAGTCGGAACCAACGTGTCTCGACGACAGGCCTCCTCGACAGGCATTCCGACCACAGGGCGGAGGTACATATAAGAGGGGCAAGTATCGGGTTGTTCTGGATCACCCCCAAGAATTTTCGTATTGTAATCAAGCAGCCAATGGCGAGAGACACAGTATCCATGGAGTAATGTTACCGTCTTCCTATCCTCGCACCACATTGGAATGCGGGGGATCGACATCTGGCGGAGTTTTTCAATTTCAATCCTATCTGACTCAGAAGGATCACATCTAGAGGAGGCCCTGAATATTGGGGGGGAATCAGTCACGGTGTTCAAGACTCAAAATATACAAGTTCTTCACATCGTCTACCTGGAGGGGTTACGTTTGCAGTTCAGAGGGTACAAGATGAGTCGAGTCATAGAGATGGCCAGCGAGTTTATATAACTCCTATGCTGGCATGTGTCATATATACGTGAGTAAACCACCTGGTAAAACGGCGCTCTTTAAGCTTTATACATATGGTAGTAAGTACCAGTGACTGAATTTGATTTTCTCATAGATGGTTTTGATGACCTACATCATGCAGATGTATTATATGTAGCTCTGACAACACTTTTGATAGGCAGCATCGGGAGTATATGTAGGAAAGAACATGGATTTTTAAATCTACGAATAAGGAAACGCCAAATGAACGCCGGCGTGCGCGCATGCGTTCAAATCTCCTGGCCCCGCGACGACGATGATGGAGAATGAGTTTCGAAGACTGTGAAAATCATAGTGCAGTCGGAATCATTGTCAAAGGGACCGTGTTGTAAGTTGACGTTGAAGTCGCAAGGCGAGTACGTATACAAATATAAACATGTTTTTTGCTTCATGTCATTTTTCGATGCGGTCGTCACGGTCCCGTGATTCTGTTACGCGACGTGACAACGTGTGTACACCGATGCGAACTAAGGGCAGCCTTCATTCAGCACCTTCGGGATACACTGAACTGACGTATGATTGACAGTACAAAACCATTATCCCAAAAACCGAAGGTGAACTTCTATGTTTAATTTTTTGCTTATCTGTCTCTTTGACTGAAATCGACGCGATTCTGTGTGCTTGGCGTGGCGGAAGTCCTCATTTGGTCTAAGCAACGACAAAACTAAATAGCAGCTTGTAGATTTTCTAGGTCCCTGTTACTAAAAGTGAAAACTCCTATCTTGTCTTCAAAGGATCCAGACCTGAGACCGTGGTGCCGATTGCCATTGTGATTAGACACCCCTATTCCGGATTCCTTATGTGCTCCGCCTTTTCGATCACATATCTCTAAGCACAATGCACCCCCATGACGCTCCTCCTCAGTTACGCTTCATACACCACAATCCAAACCACCCGCCACCTAATCCAACGGTGAACCCTGTACCGCCTGCAGATCCTTCCCAGCCCTTTCACCCCCAATCACACCGCCCACCTCAGGATGCGGGGTTCTCCCACTACCCACATACCTCTAATTACGCACCGAGAGACAATCATCGCGTTGCAGCACCCGCTTCACAAATTTCTGCCTTCCAGACGTCTGGTCCTCCTGGGCAGTTCGTGCGACAGCGAGATGATCAGCGTCCGTACCAACCTGTTCGACAGCACCCTCAGCATTATGACGCCAATGCGTATTACGTCACGAATAATCCCGTCCCTCAGGTGCCTGTTCGTCATATCTTAGTACACCAGTCGTCTCATACATCATCGTCGACACAGCAGCCGGCGTCCGCTTCCAGTTCTGCTTCCCCCACTGACAGGGGATCTTCCCATACAGTTTCGCCACCTGAACAGACGAAAGCCCTTCCAAACTATGCCTCAGAGCAGATGAACCATCATCAGCGAGAGGAGCTATACTTGAGAGCCATCGCAGCGACGCACAAAAACATTGCTGATTTACTGAGCGTCATACAACGAGAACAAGTGAACCTCAGAGATCGCCTCGCACTCCAAGAACACTCTCGGGAAACTAGCGCATTACACGAAGAGGAGTTCCGTTCTGCCGTCGCCTCGTCTTTTCAAAGTCTCCAAGGCAGGTTGGATCGCATTGAGAATGCCATAGGCAAGGAACCCGACCTACCTCCCGGAAGCAAAGCCGTGGGTACAGACAAGTCACTGAAGGATCGCCTTCGAAGTACGGAAGGTATGATCCTCGAACTTGTGGATAAGACGAATGCTGGTATGGTCTTATTTCCTACCCTTTTACACTCTCTCACGTTCATACCCCAGAGATCCTACGAAGCAGAAACCCGCGACCAGGTATTTTCGGTTTTCTCTTCTGCAAATATATGACCTGACAAGTAATATGTAGTGACACGAGTCATCCCCCCTACACCACCACCACCACCACCACCGCCGCCTCCTCCTCCCCTTCGAGTCGATGTTGGTATACAAGCATGCCCAGTTATGGCAAATGCTGCTGTGGATGTTCGTCCTCCTCACGGGCTAGAAGTGTCGGTTCAGACAATGCCTATTGAGGTTGCCGCCCCACCAGCCTTGATAGCGCGTTCAGAAATAGCAATGCAAGTTGGTCGCTCTGACTCTCCCCTTTATCACTCAGATCCACCACGACCTGCACCTGGATTCCAGATGCCTCGTAAGTTACTTAATATATATTGGTTGTGAGCAGGTCGTTGATGGCGCTATCTAGCGGTGATTTCAAGGTTTCCTAGCTCGCCACTAACAAGGGATACAATGCGGCCAGCCGAGTGGTCTCGCGAAGGCTCACAGATTGATGGTCAGTGTGAATATATTCGAGTGTACCAAAAAAATCTGTGCTAAAACATTAACTTTCAGGGGACATTTCTCCACAGTTGTCCACCCCTCGCACCCCGTGTAAGTTTAGTTCTCGTATTCAAGCTCTCGAGGATTTTCAAACTCATGTATCTCGACACAGCTCGCTCAGTACGCATGAGCCTTCCTGTCACTCCGAGTCCCGCTTCACGAAGACGAACGATTGCGACCCAAACTCGTCCAGCCGCAATCGAGGCAGCACATACTTCCAACGTTTCC